CGAGGCAGGCTCTAGCTGGAAACAGCCCAGAGCGGTGGAAGTGCGCGACTCCACACCTGATGGTTGAGGGGTGGAGTTTCATTTGATCTCACCCCGCAGGGCCACCGCCCGCTGGAAAAATGAGCCCCAGTTCTAGTGGGTTACGGCAGTCGGAAGCGCGGCCAGGAAACTGACGGGCCGTCCAGAGCGGTGGAAGTGCGCGACTCCACACCTGATGGTTGAGGGGTGGAGTTTCATTTGATCTCACCCCGCAGGGCCACCGCCCGCTGGAAAAATGAGCCCCAGTTCTAGTGGGTTACGGCAGTCGGAAGCGCGGCCAGGAAACTGACGGGCCGTAGCTGCGGTGGTCCCGTTGGCTGGGGGTGGGGCGGGATCTTTGACATTTTGCCTCCCAAAAATTGAACCTTCCAGAAGGACCACGGGGCTCACGATGGAAACTAGTGGGGGCGTTCAGCCGGGGAATCCTTCCTAATAACAGATGCCGGAGGATCTTGCTGCGGGGAGAATGGGGGGGGGCTGTTGTCTGGGACGTTTAGGCAGGGACTAGGGCATTGGGATGCCTGATTGTCCCTTGCTCCAGATAGCTTTGATCGTCTCGGCCTCCGAATGAGTCTGATCCGGCGGCAGGGCCTCGTCCGACCTGAGCCACAGGCTGGGAATCAGATGAGCGGGTCACAGTCTTCTGGCCTTATAATCTGTGAATTTTGTGGCCGCGTCCTTCCCTCTCCTCTCTGCCGTGTGCGAGAGGTTCCCCCGGGAGCTTCAGGGAGGCCAAAGCTCAGTGCAGCTGAGTCTCCCGCAGTAGCAGTCACAGGTGCTGAGATGAGGGCAGCCAGCTCTCAGGGGTCAGGAACCCTTCCTAGCCCTCCTGCCTGCCCAGCTTGTCCTGGGGGCCGCTGCGTTAATCCCCCATCAGTCCTGTTTACGTTGCAGATATGGCTCCATAAGAACATAACACACTGGGTCATTCCAACGGTCCATGCAGCCCAGTCCTGTCTGAGACAGTGGCCAATAGCAGATGCCCCAGAGGGAGGGATCACAGCAGGTAATCCTCACCTGATCCCTCCCCTGTCATCCCCTTCCAGAGAAACTGAGGCAAGGGACCATTCCTACCCAACCTGGCTAATAGCCATGGATGGACTTAACCTCCAGGAATCGATTTAGCTCTTTTTTGAGCCCTGTTAACGTTCTGGCCTTCACCGCATCCCCTGGCGAGGAGTTCCACAGGTTGACTGCACTGAGTGAAGAAAACCTTCCTTTTGTTTGTCCTGGCTCTGAGCCCCCTTGTCTGGTTCTCTGCCCTAGCCCCCTTCCCAAGGATGGCTCTGCCGATGCTCACACCCATTCTGTAAGTATGACCCGAGCCAGGCAGGAGCGTAGAGTGAGCTGAGCCGGCAAGCCCCAAATCCTCACTTTGATCTTGACCGAGAGGTCCTTGTGGGGATGTTTGTGGGTTTATTTCCGTCACTCTTCGGTGCCCATTGAGGGCCTTCCAGGAACCTCCCCAAACCCCCCTCCCTTTTGACACACCGGGGTGCCCTCTGGCTGCGTTTAGGCTTTTAATAAAACCTAGGGTCTTCTTCCCCAGCCTGGCCTGGGGCTGAAAGCCACCCCCAGCCTGGTGTCCATGGGGCAGAGGCATTTTGGGGGTCCTCCCATTCATCCTAATTCCCAAAAGGAAGCTGAAATGTCTGGCTAGCCAGCCACTTGGCAAGAGGGGAGCGCTGAGCAGAGCTGCGTAGAAATCTGGGGGACGGGAGGGGGGTGCAAAGCGACCGGCTAAACAACCCCCAGGGGTGTTTCATCAGGACAGGGCAGGGAGGGGAGCCGCGCTGGGGTTTCGGAGGAAGGGAATGGACCCGTTATGGCTGCTGAGGCTCTGTCCATGGTGCTGAAATGCCACCTCGCTCCTTGGCGCTGAGAGATTCACTGGGCGAGAAGGGTTTGTCTACACAGCCACTGTCTGCTCTGTGCCAGCAGAGCCAGCTTGGGGCTCAGGCCAGAGGCTGTGTCATCATGGGGGGGCCGATCCGGGGCACTCCGACCTCGCTCCGGGGCATCGGCCCTTTGGCCTGAGCCCTGCGAACTCGAGGGCGGTTTTTAATTGCAGTGTGGCCACCCCAGAACAGGCCACTGGCCAAGCTCGGACTCAGCCAAAGAGGAGGGATGTGCCCCGAGGCCGTTCCGGCTGGAGCTTGGATGTGGAGGAGCCTGCATGTGCTGCAGCACCAAGCGGGGAGCCGGCGGCAGAGGAGCGGGCAGGGAGCCTGGGCAAGGGGCTACACATGGTGCTGGTATTTGGTGCCACGTCGCTCCCATTGACTGATGGAGACCCAGACCTAACACAAGCCCGTGGCCGGAAGCTGAAGCCGGACCTGCTCAGCCTGGAGGGGACCAGATGCTCGCAATGGTGCGTTTTGGCCTTGGCAGATGCGGTTCTACTTGGGATGGACGGGCTGGTGCAGCGGGAGCATTGGCCTTGTGGGGAAGAACGTAGCTCCCCAGACAGAAGGATGGAGGATCAACGGCTCCACTAGCCCAGTCCCCTGTTCCAACGCTGGTCGGCACCCTGCTGTGGAGGAAGGAGCAGAGCCGGCGCTGCCCCAATTGATTCCTGACCCCAGCAGGGGAGCAGCGTGTGCCCGGAAGCATGAGGGTTGGGAGCCTGTTAGCCAATGTCCCGCAGGACACAGGTGGCTGCAGAGAGTAAGGGGGCAGGATGCCTTCCTAGCATCACCTGGTGCGGCCTGACGTGGGACCAGGGGAAGGCCAGCTCATCACCGTGCCTGAGCCAGGAGCAGGTCTTCATAGGATCACAGAGCTGGAAGAGCCCTCAGGAGGTCATCAAGTCCAGCCCCTTGCCCTAGGCAGGACCAATCCCAACTAAATCAACCCAGCCAGGGCTTTGTCAAGCCGAGACTTAAACACCTCTAGGGATGGAGACTCCACTACTTCCCTAGGGAACCCATCCCAGCGCTTCACCACCCTCCTAGGGAAATAGTTTTTCCTAATATCCAACCTGGACCTCTCCCACCACAACTTGAGCCCATTGCTCCTTGTTCTGCCACCTGTCACTACTGAGAACAGCCTCTCTCCAGCCTCTTTGGAACCCCCCTTCAGGGAGTTGAAG